TATTAAACACTTACCTATACTTGTCATTTAAATACTACATTGCATTTTGAACTGAATGAATTAATTCATAACAATCGTTATGTATATTTTCGATATGGACGAATCTTACTTTCTGTTGAGTATAAGTAATCACTGACTACTGTTTTAGCAACAATAATCACAAAATTATCTATGTCTATTCATAATCATTATTGTTTTACTTCAAGAAACATTTTTCTTTTGAAAACATGTAACAATTAAATTTTTATGTTTTTAAAATTTGTATTTCAAATGTGATACTTATTACGCGTATGAAAAAGAGAATTGACATTGATTACAAAGTATTTACTTTCACTGATGGCATACCTTTATTTCTATTGCGCATATAACTTTAGATTCTACTAGAAAACTTTTTAAGTGTTTTTTATTGAATTTTGAAAAAAAAAATCTTACACATTAATTCATCCTTAAAAAAGAAATTAATGTACGTATTGCTGATCGAATTCCTGTATATATTCACAATAACGCTCCTAGCTTTACATCTACTATGTTAAATTGTTCAATTTTGCCCTTCTCTATTCAAGCCTTTTCTACCTTAAGAAAGGAAAAAAATCAAGATTTGTTTTTAGTCTGACACTGCCTGACAAACGAATAACAGCTTTGCATAGATGATGACAAAATTATATTAGATGACGATGATTCTGGTAGGATGAAATAGAGGATATTTGTTTGTTTTACATGAAGATTGAAATATAATTCACTGAGTGAACACCAGATGCAATATTTTTACGAGTGGCGTATATTATAGCTGGTGCTCACGAATGAAATATATTTCAATCTTATATGTAAAAGATATAAATTTTCTTTTTATTTCATGCTTTTTAAGTCATTTTAAATATTTTTTACTGATTTTGCCGCGTAACGTCAGGCATTCGCCTTTGTGACGTCATCATATCAAGACGTCACATCATCAATTTTGAAATATAGGTCTGTTAAATTTCTCAAATTTTGTTACATAATTAACATGATGTATTATGATATCGACTTTCTTTTCCTTAAGAAGCAAAATTTACGAATGACGGCATTTATTTTTGCCTGTTATTCCATTTTCATCCGAATTAATATATAGTCCGGCTACAGTGAAAATTATATTTTATAAATTTCACTGGTGTTTTATCAGAATATAATCATCTGATATATTACAATAAAACACTGGAAAGCATGAAATAAAGGGTACACGTACTAATTTTTATAAAAGTCTGATAATTAATACGTTTGTATCTACTTAATTACTTTTTGCTCAAACTGTTCTCTGTGTGAGAGGTATTGCTCAGTTAATAATTTTCTCTGAGTAAGTAATGCTAAGAAAGTGGGAAGTGCTAAGTGAATTTTGTTCTTTGCTTAAATAGTGCTGAATGTATTGGAATATCTTAGTGAGTACTGAGAAGTAATTTTGTTAATGTTGTGCTCATCGAGTTATGCTTTTCAAGTCGGATTAGAAAGCGAGAAGTGCTTATTTAGTTTTATAGCACGAGGAGTTCTCAAAGAGAGAGTGGTGCTCAAGAAGGTTTGTTCTTAAAGTGAGTAGTGCCCATTCATGATTGTGTTATAAGTGAGTAGTGATCAGGAATTGAGTAGTGAGTTGTACTTGATGAGTTATTTTTTATGGTGAGAAGGGTTCAGTGTGATTTGGTTTTGGATTGAATACTGCACAGTGAGTTATGTGTTTAGCTTGAGTGGTGATCATGGAGTACTGTTCAGGTTGATAGTAGTGCTCAGTGAGTTATGGTGAGTTATGTACATGCGAAATGTGTAGCGCTGCCCAGTTCAAGTGGTCAGTAGTGCTAAGTTAGAAATGTATACTAAATGAAAAGTGCATAGGGTGTCAGAAGTGCTCAATAACTTATAAACTTGAAGTTAAGTATGCAAAGAGGGAGTCAAAAATATAAGTGGTAGATTTTGACCGTGCGACCAAATACAAGCATCAAGAACGATTTGATTTTAGTTAACATTTGACCATATAAACTCATTACAATGGTCCCCTTATGAAAAAGAGGACACATTTAATTTAAGCAATGTTATTATAAACCTTAATCATATAAGAGGAATTAAAGCTATATGCCTCCAGATGAGGCAAAATATGTAAAGAAAATCTAATTTTAGAAAAAAAATGTACTAAGTTTTTAAGAAAAGTAAAAAGATTCAAGATCTAAGTTAAAATACACATGATATGCACGCTTTTTAATAGCTGATTTTGAAGAATTTATCAGCATACTTCTACAGTGTGACTAAAGCAGTAAGGTATATGTTTGCATGTTTTGACCTCTTTTTGATTGTAGATGCCGTTTGTATAAATCAATTTCTTTGTTATTTTGACAATCGTTTACTTTTAAATGCCTTTTTTATGAATCCACCTCCGTAAGCTCAGATGGTTATATTTGACTTGAGAGGTAAAGAAACAACAAAAGTTAGTTGAATTGAAAATTGTCATTTTAATGATAAAATAACGGATCAAGTGAAAATATAATATTGCATAAAACAAATACAATGTGACTAGAAAGAATTCAACTATAAAATGTTTTCCTTGAAAGACAAAGTTGGGGGAAAGAACCGCCAACAATATTATGCATGTTAAATATAGTATCAATGAAACAAATTTATGAAAACTTATCTAAATAATCCACCAATAATGAATGTACCTTGCAGATTGGCATAACAATTTAACATTGTATAAGGCTAAATAATACTAAAAATTGGGTGGAAGGGTGGGATAAAACTTCTTTGTTTTTAATTTTGGTTGCATAAATTATTGCAATATAATATAAACACATTGTGAATTTTACACTGGTCAGACAACACTAAATATACTATGGTCAAACAACACTAAATATGTAAACACGGAAATTATCCTGACTGCAAGTAACATACACTACGGTATTCATAAAGCTATTTGTTCTTCAAATAAATGATTATTTTCTTATTTGTTTTATGAAAATTAGCATGAATCTGGAGGCATGTTGCTTTAATTAGATAACAAAGTTTACCTGTTATTCCACATAAAGGCGAACATTTAAATAGGGTGACAAACTGCCAAAACATAAGTTTTCGTAATTGCTTCTTAAGGATTTTATCAAGCAATTGGTTTTTCAATTGCATGGACTAAAATAGCTTTGGAAAGTTGTTGTATAGTGTATAAATGCCATTTCCATGCTCGAGAGAGTTTACATACTGACAAATAATGCAATTACAGACGATACAGTGTGATTGCTTATTTTTTCAACTAAAATTATCCTACAAAGTGCAACAATATATTTAACTAATAGAGTGAAAAATTGCAAATGCATTGAAGATAGATGAAATAAATTTGATTATCATATGATAATACAAATTAAATTTTATGCTCTACCCATCTGGTATGATTTTCATGGTATAAATATTTAGCAAGTGATATAACATTTAGACAATAATATTTGTTTTTAACATATGTCTTATACAGTGGATATTCGAAGAAGTAAAAATGAGATTCGTCTTCAATAACATAATTACATGTTTTTAAGCAATTATACCAATATTTTATGTATCTTGCAATTCTAATAGCTTTACCTTTTCTCTCATAACATTAAGACATGAGCAGCAAAATTATATTTTTCTATATAAATATCCTAAATCTGAACTAAAATATCATTCAACATGGAGTAATGTCTTAGAACACTTTCGGTGTAAGGGTCTTTTTAAGTTTCAACATGATTTTAACAGATTTATGTATAACAACCTAGTAAACTTTGCTTAAATATATTACAAACATTTGAGTCATCTCTTGGCAACGTCTGGAACGATCTTTACATTTCCAGGACCCAATCTAAAAAAGGATAGCTTGAGTTTTAAAAAAAAAATGTAATATTTTTTATCATAAAATTCATGTTAAAATATTTTAACACTGAATAATAATGTTTTGGATACGCGTTAACGCCCATGTATGCCAATTTTAATCAGTATTTAAGACAAATTGTCACATGGATTATTACAACAGAGTAAAAATCCCCCACATTTATCAAGAGCAAAATAATTTGAACTTAATTATACGACATTGGTCGAAATAAGCTAGGGGCAACATACTTATATTTAGAATGTTTTTATAACTGGCAAGTGTGGTTTTTGTGAAGGTTTGCATAAGGAATTTGATTCCATTTGACTGCTATTGGACTGCCGAAAAACAGTTTTCAGTTGCACTTTCAAAGATATAGTTATTCAGATCTTAATAACTACTGGTTCCAAGTGCTTTCAATGCATTCGCCTATCTTTAGAACATCGGTATTCTTAGTTTACATTGATGTAAATTTACTGAGTTGCATGTTAGAATATTTGTTTCTATATGCAAGTGAAAATAAAATGCCTTAAATATTAGTTGCCTGAGAAACAGTGTCTTTTGTTAACATTAGATTTCATTTACATGAACATTTTAAACGCTTTTTATTATACATAATAGCTATTACCACATAACAATGACTTCGTTACAAATAGAATCAAATATTCTTAAAGCTGCCCGCCTCCAGTTGAGGAAAAATATTTCGATAAAATTAAACCTAAGAAAAATGTACTAAGATTTTAGGAAAAGTGTTAAGATTCAAAGTTCTAGTAATAATTTACATGTTATGTGCGATTAATGACCGATTTTTCAGTATTTATAACTATATTTCTACTGCGTTATTAACGCAGTAAGGGCTATTTTTGCATATTTTGTCCTCTTTTTAGTAATTTACGTGGGTTGTATGTGCCATTGATATTGTGTAAATTGCTTCCTTTCGGTTATTTCACTGAATAATACTTTTAAACAAATTTTCAAAATTTTCATGAAAATTAGGATGAATCTGGAGGCGTGCCGCTTTTAACTATTTATAGCAGAACAGAACAGAACAGACATTTTATTTGAGACTTGTACATAACACATCGTCGTGCGAATATATATATATATATATATATATATATATATATATATATATATATATATATATATATATATGTAATACAATATATCATGTCACATGGTTATGTTTACACATGAAAAAATATATTGGCTGCACAGTAATATGAACTACGTAGAACTAGGCAGGAATTGTATTTGAGAGAATAGTATTTGTTTTCAATATGTTGTTTAGATTGACAAAAGTACAAGTATATACATTGTACATTGTATATAACTTTACGACAAATGGGGAAAACAAAGATGTCATTTACCATATAAATGGACAAGCGCCTGTGGTATTAGCAGAGAAAAGTAAGTTCAAGAAATCAATATATTGTAACAAAATTGAATGTTTTTTCCGACTGTAAATTCTCTTCGAATTTGTAACAATCTGCATACAAAAGCTGGTGTAAACATCTGTCAAAATATATTTACCAATCGTCACATGTATTTAGAACATATGCTTCAAATATTTTGAAATAATATCTGAATCAAAAACAACTGAAACAAATTATGCAATGATTATGATTATGCAATGCATCGATTAAAGCATGTTAAAAATGCAGTATGTCCCTGGTTAAACAATTTTGAGATACATTGCAACTGACATCTTCTAGCTTTGTCAAAACCTCCGTCATTACATTCACAAGGTCTTGAATTATTACCCGCGCCTTTGCCACATACACTTGCTTGGTAATAAGGCACCACGTGCTTTCCTTTAGCTTTTGCTTTGCACTCAGCTTGGTGGGCGCATACCCATTCTTTTACTTTCTGGTCACATTTACTGGAACAGCCATGAAGTCGTCTGCAACCAACAGATAACCAGTTACGATGTTCGGCGATAGTTCCAAAATCGTGTAAGACATTATTGTGATTGTCGGCTGCTACAGCTTTGCAGAAACATCTGAAATCCATGTGTAAATTGTAAAAAGTGCACAACTCTGAATACACAAAAGTGTTTAATAACATGTTTCACTATCTACACAATATTTCAGATATGTAAACAAACTTTTTTATGTAAGATATACATTTTTCGGAAAGATTCAACAGTAGATATTTCTTTAGATCAACTTGAACAATATTGAAACGTATGAAAAAATGCCAAAATTTTTACAAAACAATATTATTTTAAACATATTTCATTCATAAACATACACAGTACATAATATACAATCATTCAATATATACAATGTTGAAATGGATTAGAAATTTAGAACGAAAGATATAAAATCTTATATAGTTCTTCTCCGAAAAACAATATTATATATATTAGACAAATACATGAATTTATATTTCATTCTAATTATTTAATGCTAACCTAAATAACGCCAACCAATGTCCATTTTTTAAATTGTAAAACATGAATTCATATTTCAAATGTTCTTATTTGTTTTAAAATGTTAAAACAAACATTACAATATGATTTAAAAGTTAATCTCGCAAGTTTTAGAGAATTACAGAAACTTACCGTTTTCTGTCTGCTACCGTGTATTGAAGCAAAATACAGAAAATAGCTACAAAGCATGTTGCTTTCATCAACATCTTTATTTCCTTTTATTTATTAGTTTTACTCCTGATCGGATGACGTTGAATATGATAATGATCTATAACAATTTTAAAAGTATTTATATACGTTTATATACGTTTTAATACAATGCATTGATTGATACAAAAGGATATTAATTTTTCAAACGAAAAAAAAAAAAAATTTAAAAAATTATCACAACGGATTCCGGTTTATGATTTTCTTGCTTGTCATTAATTGGTCGGGACCTTATGTAATCGCATTTGATAAACAATATTTATACTTTACACGCGTTTTAAATCTCTTTATTGGTTTATTTAATAATGTAAAACATAAACAAAAAATACATGTAATTAACAACAAATCGGCTCAGACATGAGCAAACAATTCGGGCGTGCTCTAGAGGATGTTAGAGGTGATTGGAAGTTTTGTTTAAGGATTATACTGAACGAATCTTTATATGGTAATATAGGGTTGAAGTTAATGATCAATCTTCTTTGGTTATGAATTTCTAACTTTTTAAAACTTTGGTATTTACATTCTTTCCTGTGACAAATGTATTCTTACAAATAAATGTATAGACATATATTTTTACTTCCAAAATTAGAATTGTCTAATAGATATAAATCCAGAAATTTTTCAAATTGGTATAATACAAAACATGTATGTAAATTTCAATAAAAATAGGAAGGTAAGTCCAAGATATCGATAATGATCAATACCTTCGATTTCTTGGTCACCGTATGTCCAACGATCAACTCAAATGTCATATTGATATGTTTTATTTAATTTGACCATATGTGTATTTCAATATGAGTATAAAATATAAAGAAAACTGTACGTTTTCTACGAAGACTTTCTTTTTTCTTTAATAGGCAATTCCCCATAAAAGATATTCTTATTATTTTGAAAAAATATGTCTTTTACAAAAAGCGACTATTCATGTATACAGTGAAAAATATTTCTAATGCAACACCTACGTTTTTCGTTGCATTCGGGTTATAAGGGAATATTTAACTTTTATAGATAAAATAACATCTCTTTTATATGTGATCGGTAAACTTCATTTTATGATATTGACAAAAAGCATAAATTCAAACAGACAAGACATAAAACAATACTTTGAAAGAAAAATAGAAAAAGGTATAACTACTTTTCACACATCTCTGTCGCAAAGACATCACATGGTTCCGTACAAATATCAATATCATCACCTTAGTGCAATAACAGGTTAAAACCTTTTAAATTAAATAGAAGTTAACCAGTTATTGCACGAAGGTGATGATATGCTTTTAGGTCCTTATAACACTAGTTCATGTTTTAGACTTTAGTGCCTGTCTGATTAAATGACCTGCCTAAAGCATACCAACGGGCAAAACACTCTTGAAATTGCATTCGAACTATTGGAACTTTTCAAAGATGAATGTTATTATTTTCCAATGTGGCTAACGTTAAACAATACTTATATTTAATCTTAAACAATTTTTTTCATTCTAACCATTCTAAGTAGAAAGTTGGATATACAATACAAGCTGTTCCTGCTTACTTAAAACACATTAATTGGTGTTGCTCCAAATTGCCTTGCATTCTGTCAACATATTAATACGAGTTGTGCCTGAAGTATGAACTGTAACGTTCAAAACATTTTTAGTTAGGTTGCACCTTATTATCTGAACAAGCTCCCTGACGAAAAATGTGCTCTATCTTTAATCATATTGAAAATAACTTTTAAAGACTTCACTAAAATAAATGTCATCATATTCCTGGTTGAATAAATAGTAATTCAACTTTTCAGCAATGTCTTAAAGAGATTTTTTTGTCATTTTATGTTAAAATCATTTTTATCTGTATTAGAAAATAATAATATTTTCATTCATGTTAGATACTTTGTCTTATTTTGATAGCTTATTTAAGGTAACTTTGTGTTAATTCTGTTTAATTCGAATGCCTTGTTTTAATAACAAGATTTGTTATATGTTTTCATTTTAGTGTTGTTATATTTTTCTGGTCCTTCGTGATGATTCCAACCAGTATTGTTGAAGATATAGACAACAGTTTTAGCCGATGCTTGGAGGCGTAGAAGATGAGGCACTCTTTTATTATCTCTCATGAACAAACTCAATTAAACTGAGTGTGCAATTTTCATATAATTATTGTTGTTTTTATTGCAAAATATAACATTAATATTATATTGTTGTTTTCTATGTAGTTTTCATTCATCCAAAGAATATCCCCATTTTCTAGCTTTTTACTTCACAAAAGTAGGTGTCCAGTACCATATGGCAGCTGAAAAATAGTTGCGATGCACTTCACTTAAATGTTGTCATATTTTTCTGTTCCTTTGGGGTCATTATTTCCAGCACATTATTGTTGAAGATTGAAAACCGCTTAAGCCGGTTCTGCGGGTCATGGGATATGTTGCACTTTACATTATATTTCATGAGTCAATCAAAGGGGTCACTTTTTTTTTTATTTTCATGCATTGTTGTTTACCTATTTTCGAAGTGTTTTGCAAGTGGCGAAATGTATTTTATTTCCTGTAAAGCACTTTTGAACATAAAATGAATAAGATTGCTTTTAGAATTTGGCATTATATATAAAATAACTATATGTTTTATAATTATTTCAAGTAACCGTTTTTACGTCCACTATAGTTCATTATAAATAACAGTCAATACATTAAAAAGGTACTTTAAGCCGTCGCTGATTGATGGTAAATGCAACTTTGTTTATAGAGTCTAAAATAATAAAATTTAATAAGAGGTTTTTTTTTCTACAGACATAAAAGTAATCAATTTAAGAGTTATCTTTATACACTTCTATTTAAGAATACGGCATATTTAAACCAACTTGTAACGTGTGTTGTTTTATCTTCATTTATTTCAATCATTATAATTATTTTACAAAAGGCTTGTATCGGTTCTTCTTACAACATCATTGCCAAATTTCTCTACACATTGTAACTGGCAAGTCTCAAATCATATATTATACTATGGAAATTAAGTTTTCGTTGTAACGAAATATTTTCTTTAACATGCTTGTGCATCTGCCATTTAAAGAAAATATATCTTATATTCATTGTCTAATATCAAATTCTTTTTTATAAGCAAACTTTGTCTTTTTTGCATAGGCCAACGATCAAATTGGTTCCAAATACAATTGTGTAGAAAGATTGAAACGTTATTTATAATCAAATATAGTATGGTACAGCATAGTACAGTATAGCATGTACTTCATGAACTCATCTGTACGAACTATTAAACTAATGTTCATGTACATTTGTAGCATTTTCTTTTCTTTTCTGCATGAGTAAATGTTTACACCTTACTATTTTGAAAATATAAATGACATGTGTCTCAACCTCTTTAATTATAAATTAAAAGTGACAACCTAATTCATATAATATTTGCATACTATTTTCCATTGTACTTACTCTTGCAGTGGAAAAATAAAAAACAATAGTTTTACATGCATTTGGTAGTCTATTTGTACATAGTAGATCTTACATTTGCAATTTATCACCATTCAAATGAAATAAATGACTATCAGTAAATAAGAAAACATTAAGCAGAACGTATGATGTTAAACTTGGATTACTCAGAATTCTGTATTATTTTGTTTAGTCCGTATTGTTGACCGAAGTCCCTTTTAAGCCAATGAAGACGTATTTATATTGACTAACAATATCTACTCAGCACTGGTAATTTTTTATCTTCTATTAGATTAAACGTTACAACAATATACGAATAAAAAAATTTTTTTTATATCTTTATTTGCAAACATTACAAACACAAAAGTAACTTACACAAACAAGACAAAAAACTATGCATACAAAGCAAATGTAAAAGAAATAAATAACATTTATTCATCATATATACTGAACGAGATATTATTTATGTATTAAGCAATGCAAGTGTTCAAACAATTTAAAAATGCGGTATGTCCTTGACTAAACAGATTGCCGATACATTGCAATTGACATCTTCTTACTTTGTCAAAGCCCCCGTCATTACATTCACAAGGTCTTGCATTATTACCCGCACCTTTTCCACATACACTTGCTGTGTAATAAGGCACCACGTGCTTTCCTTTAGCTTTTGCTTTGCACTCAGATTGATGGGCGCATACCCATTCTTTGACTTTCTGGTCACATTTACTGGAACAGCCATGAAGTCGTCTGCAACCAACAGTTAGCCAGTTATGATGTTCGGCGATGGTTCCAAAATCATGCAAGACATTATTGTGATTGTCGGCTGCTACATTTGCAGAAACATCTGAAAGTAAAGAAACGATTATTGTTAAATCAACGCTCATTTTGACAAACTCAAAATATGTGCGATGTTGCAAGTAGCATGTTAGATTATGCTTGCTGTTGTTGTTGTGTGACCGGCCATATGAAAAAACTCACCCATGTTAACTAGCGTTGCTGTTTTTATGCTGTTATGATTGTTTTGTAAATAAGGAAAATATATTATTTTATCCACATTCACTTTTAGCTACAGATATAATAATTACCGACCGCGTTCTCACAATCATTAAAACAAAGGTAAAATTCAAAATTGGTAAATGGAAGTATTTAATGTTGAAACATATATATCCTATTGGAAGATCTTTGGTAACCTTATTATTGACACATGGTCGAAATGTATGCTATGTTCGTGTTTTGTGATTAATATTCTTCTTATTCTTGACAAGGGAAAGGAAAAATTTTAAGTTAAAAATGGAACATATTGCGTTCTGAATCATTAGAGAATACATGAACATTAAGAAAAACTTACCGTTTTCTGTCTGCAGCAGAAATACGAAGAACAACGAGGAATACGAAGAATAGAAATACGCGTCTCATCATCATTGTTGAATTGTTTTATTAATATGAGTTGTGCTGTAAGTTGTCTGAATTAAATTGTCGCAGTCCGTCGATGTTTTATATACGTTTCAGCCTCACGGAAACGGGCGAGAAAATACGTCATATGCGTAACGCTACGTTAATACGTTTAGTCCAGGATGATTATTTTTGTATGAGTTTATTCATCAATAAAAGGCTGGAACAAAGTGCAACCGCAATAATTTTAAAAATAGACTAGATAAACAAAAACAGTCATCAAAACTTTACTACGAGGTTTACTCGTGTAGGAAAAAATAACACATTTTCGTAAAACAATTAACATTTTTATGGGATTTACTTACGTTATAAAAAATGGGCGGTATTGTAAACAAAAAATATCGAATCAGAGTGCTGATAACAGACAGGTGTGTTCATTAAATGTACGCTAATGACATCTTATTCATTTAATCGTGCGCAATTATGACAATACAAAGGGACGTTTAAGAAACTTTTTAGTGATTTTTATCGCTCGAAATATTGTCGCTTAAGCATGGTCAATTTCGTTTAAGAAGGGCGACCACGCTTAGGCGGCATTGCTCAGAAAGCAAAAATTGCTTGTATTTGGCGCAACTTTGTCTTTTTCTTGCATAAAAAGGATTACTTTCAACCATTTCCTATAAAGCTTAAACATATAGTTGTAGTATTTCAACAAAAACGATATAAATGACTTTGATTATAACGAGGTGGAGCAGAGGGGGGGGGGGGGGGCGGGAGTAAGGCGACAACAAAGACGGCAGAGGCGTCGCTGATGGTTGTAGTTGTAATTTTGGCAGCTCCCCCAGACCCAAGTAAAGCGTTTTCTTTCTTTTTCGGACCGTTTGCCCGGGTATCTTGTGCACACGGGTAAAGTCCAGTTCGGAATCTCGGTCAAGTTGACCCCAAAATAAAGTTGTGACAGATCCTGTTTATGCGAATTATAATCATCTTATAAACGAAATCGACCGTGTTTATGAGCCAGCGCTGTTTTGCGGTGTTACAGTGCTTGTCAATACTACATTGCATTTTGTAAAAAAAAAAAGAATTAATTCATAACAATCTTGACGTATGATTTCGAGGAGAGTGAATCTTACTTTCTGTTGAGTATAAATAATCACTGGCTATTGTTTTAGCAACAATAATCACAAAATTATCTATGTCTATTCATAATCTTTTTGTTTTACTTAAAGAAAGTTCTTTTTAAAACATGTAACATCCATATTGTTCAGGCTTTAAAATTTGTATGTCAAATCTGATATATTTACACATTGGAACCGACCTTGATGACAAAAAGTCTTTTTAAAACAAAAGTATTTACTTTCACTGATGATATGCTTTTATCATTATTGTACAATTTACTTTACAAGAAAACTGTTTAAGTTTTTATTTTATACAATTTTGAAAAATCTTACAAACTGTTTCATCCTTTTTATGAAATTAATGTACGTCTTGCTGATCGAATTTCTATATATATTCACACACAAAAACACACACTGCTAACTTGACGTCAAGATTTTTTTTAGTCCTGACAAATGAATAACAGCTTCACAAGGATGTTGACACAATTATATCAAATATTAGATAATGATGATTCTAATAGTATAAAAGTGTACTTATTTTATTAAGATAAAAGTCTGATAATTAATAAGTTTGTACCTACTTAGTGACTGTTTGCTCAACATATTTTCTGTGTGAGTTCCGGTGTGAGAATCATTCCTCAGTGAGAAGTGCTTAAGAAGTGAGAAGTGCTAAGTTAGTTTTGTTCTTGGCGTAGGTAGTGCTGAATAAATTAGATTCTCTGAGTGAAAAGCGCTTGTTTATCGAGAGAGCTGTGTTTATTGAAAGCGAGAAGTGCGCATTTAGTTGTATGGTGTGAGTAGTTCTCAAAGTGCAAGAAGTGTTCGAGGCGGCTTGTTCTATGACAAAATAGTGCCCTTTTAGTTATATTCCTCCAAGTAAGTAGTGATCATGATGTAAGTAGTAAGTTGTACTGTGTGAGTTATAATTTTATGGTGAAAAGGCTCAGTTTGTTATGCTTATAGATTGAAAATACTCAGCGAGTTATGTGTTTAGCTTAAGTGGTGCTCAGGGAGTATTGTTCGGGTAGATAGTAGTGCTCAGTGAGTAATATCCATGTGGAATCAGTTGTGCTTAGTTGTTATAGTGCCCAGTTCAAGTGGTCAGTAGTGCTAAGTTAGAAATGTATACTGAATGAAGAGTGCAGTTAGTCTGAAGTGCTCAATAACTAATATGCTTGAAGTTAAGTTGCAAACAGACAGTCAAAAATAGAAGTGGTAGATTTTGACCGTGCGACCAAATACAAGCATCAAGGATGATTTGATTTTAGTAAACGTGCGGCCATATACACTCATTACAAAAGTACAATATGAAAAAGAGGACACATTTAATTTAAGCAACCTTATTATAACCCTAAATCACGTAAGAGGAATTGAAGCTACATGTCTCCAGATGAGACAAAATATGTAGAAAATCTAATTTTAGAAAAAAAATGTATTAAGTTTTTAAGAAAAGTACAAAGATTCAAGACTAAAGTAAAAAAGCACATGTTATGTACGCTAAATGGCTGATTTTGAAGAATTTATCACCATATTTCTACAGCGTGACTAAAGCAGTAAGGTCTATGACCTATTTTTGTAAAGTTTGTGGATTGTAGGTGCTGTTTGTATAAATCAATTTCTTTGTTATTTTGACAATCGTTTACTGTTAAATGCCTTTTTTCTTATTTGTTTTATAAAGATTAGCATGAATCTGGTGGCATTTTGCTTTAATTAGATAACAAAGTTTACATGTTTTTTTCACATACAGGCGTAAATTCAATTAGGGAGACAAACTGCAAAAACATAAGTTTTCGTTATTTCTTTTTAAGGATTTTTATCAAGCAATTGCATGGACTAAAATAGCTTTGGAAAGTTATTGTATAGTTAGTTAGTTAGTGTATTCCATGCTCGAGAGAGTTAACATACTGACAAATAATGCAATTACAGGCGATACAGTGTGAATGCTTATTTTTTTCAACTAAAATTATCCTACAAAGTGCAACAATATATTTAACCAATAGAGAGACAAATTGCAAATACATTGAAGAGAGATGAAATAAATGTGATTATCATATGATAATACAAATTTTATGCTCTACCCATCTGGTATTATTTTCATGGTATAAATATTTAGCAACTGATATAACAATTATTGTAGACAATAATATTTGTTTTTAACATATGTGTTATACAGTGGATATTCGAAGAAGTAAAAATTACTTTATTCTTCAATAACATAATTATATGTATTTAAGCAATGATACAAATATTTTATGTATCTTTCTATTCTAATATGTCCTCATTTTCTCTCATAAGATTATGACATGAGCAGCAAAAATTATTTTTTCTATATTAATATGCTAAGTCTGAACTAAATATCATTCAACATGGAGTAATGTCTTTAAGTACTTTCAGTGTATGTTTTTTTTTTTAAAGTTTCAACATGATTTTAACAGAATTGTGAAATACAATAAAATAATCGTTGCTTAAAATATTAATAACATTTGTGTTATCTCTGGTCAACCTCTTGAACGATCCTTACATTTCCAGGATCAAATCTCAAAAAAGAATAGCTTTCGTTATTTACTTCTTTTTATTTCATTTATTTATTTATTTGTTTATTTATTTATCATTAGATTCTTGTAAAGGCATTTTAACATTGAATAATAATGTTTTGAATAAGTGTTAACGTCCAGGTATGTCAATTTTCAGTATTTGATACAATTTGTCATGTAAATAGTACAATATAGTGAAAATCTTCCAAATTCATCAAAAGCAAAATAACTTGAATTTATTGCGACACGGGTCGATATAAGTAAGGACATCATAGTTTTAAAAAGTATGTTTATTGTAACAAGCAAGTGTGATATTTGTGGAGGTATTAATGAGGACTTTGATTTCATCTGACGGTGTTTGGAGTGCCTTAAAGCTGTTAACAATTATTCTTATTCAGATCTTAGTTACAAGCTCGTTCCCGGTGCTTTCAATGCTTTCATATTTAACATAGGCTATCTTTAGAATATTGACCGGTATTCCTAGTAACATTGATATAAATGAACTAAATTGCACTGGAAAATATAATTTATCTTTTATTTGCAAGTAATGATATAATGCCTTAAATATTAGCTGCACATAGAAACAGTGTATTTTGTTAACATAAGATTTCCTTGAAATGAAGCTTTTTAACATTTTTATATATATATAATAGCCACTACGATACCATATAAAATGACTTTTTGCAAATAGAATTTTAAATATTATATACCCTTTTTTATAGCGAGAGCAAAATTTGTTTTCAATATGTTGTTTAGATTGACAAAGTACAAGTATATACATTGTATATAAATTTAAGATAAAAGGAAGAAAAACAAAGATGTCATTTACCATATATAAATGGACAAGCGCATGTGGTATTAGCAGAGAAAAGTCAGTTCAAGAGATTAATATAATGTACCAAAATTGAATGCTTTAACCGACTGTAAATTCTCATCGAATTTGTTACAATCTATGTACAAAAGCTGATGTAAAGTTCTGTCACTTATATGTTTAACCATCGTCATATGTTTGTAAAATAAAAAAAGCGATGTGTTGTGCAAGTTTTACATGTTTTATTTAAACAAATCATTCATACAACATACACTGATGTAGCATGTATTTAGAACATGTATTCAAATGTCTGGAAATAATATCTGGATCAAAGACAACTGAAACAAAGTGATTATGCAATGCATTGATTAAAGCATGTTAAAAATGCAGTATGTCCCTGGTTAAACAATTTTGAGATACATTGCAACTGACATCTTCTAGCTTTGTCAAAACCTCCGTCATTACATTCACAAGGTCTTGAATTATTACCCGCACCTTTGTCACATACACTTGCTTGGTAATAAGGCACCATGTGCTTTCCTTTAGCTTTAGCTTTGCACTCAGATTGATGTGCTCATACCCATTCTTTAACTTTCTGGTCACATTTACTGGAACAGCCATGAAGTCGTCTGCAACCAACAGATAACCAGTTACGATGTTCGGCGAAAGTTCCAAAATCGTGCAAGACATTATTGTGATTGTCGGCTGCTACAGCTTTGCAGAAACATCTGAAATCCATGTGTAAATTGTAAAAAGTGCACAACTCTGAATACACCAAAGTGTTTAATAACATGTTTCATTATTTACACAATATTTCAGATATGTAAACGAACTTTTTTATGTGAGATATACATTTTTCGGAAAGATTCAACAGTAGATATTTCTTTTTTGATCAACTTGAACAACATTGCAACGTATGAAAAAATGCCAAAATTTTTACAAAAAAATATTAGTTTAAACATATTTTATTCATAAACATACACAGTACATAATATACAATCATTCAATACATACAATGTTGAAATGGATTAGAACGAAAGATATAAAATCTTATATAGTTCTTCTCCGAAAAACAATATTATATATATTAGAGAAATACATGAATTTATATTTCATTTTAATTATTTAATGCTTACCTAAATAACGCCAGTCAATGTTTATTTTTTAAATTGTAAAAACTGCATTCATATTTCAAATGTTCTTATTTGTTTTAAAATGTCAAAACCAACATAACAATGTGATTTAAAAGTTAATCTCGCATGGTTTAGAGTATTACAGAAACATACCGTTTTCTGTCGGCTACCGTGTATTGAAGTAAAATACAGAAAATAGCAACAAGGTATATTGCTTTCATCAACATCTCTATTTCTTTATTTGTTTTATTCCTGATCGGATGAAGTTGAAAATGAAAATGATTGATTTAAAAAGTATTTATATACGTTTATATACGTTCTAATACGATGCATTGATTGATACAAAAGGATATTAATTAATCAAACCATTTAGAAAGAATTTATTTTTAAAAATCGTCACAACGGATTCCGGTTTAGGATTTTCTTGCTTGTAATTAATTGGTCGGGACCTAAAGTAATCGCATTTGTTAGACAATATTCATAGTTTACACACGTTTTAAATCTCTTTATTGGTTTTACATGTAATTAACAACAAATCGGCTCAGACTGGAGAAAACAACTCAAGCGTGCTCTAGAGGAAGTTTGAGGTGATTGGTAGTTTGGTTTAAGGATTATACTTAATGAATCTTTCTATGGTAATATCTGGTTGAAGTTAATGATCAATCTTCTTTCGTTATGAAATTTTAACTTTTTCAAATTTTTGGTATTTACATTTTCTTTCTGTGACAAATGTATTGTTACAAATATACATATATAGACATAAATTTTTACTTCCAAAATTAGAATTTTCTCATAGATATAAATTCAGAAATTTTTCAAATTGGTATAATACAAAACATGTATGTAAATTTCAATAAAAATAGGAAGGTTAGTCCAAGGTTTCGATAATGATCAATACCTTCGATTTCTTGGTCACCGTATGTCCAACGATCAACTCAAATGTCATACTGTTTTATCTAATTTGACCATATGTGTATTTCAATATGAGTATAAAATATAAAGAAAACTGTACGTTTTCTACGAAGACTTTCTTTTTGCTTTAATAGGCAATTCCCCATAAAAGATATTCTTATTATTTTGAAAGAAATATGTCTTTTACAAAAAGCGACTATTCTTGTATACAGTGAAAAATATTTCTATTGCAACACCTACGTTTTTCGTTGCATTCGGGTTATAAGGGAATATTTAACTTTTATAGATAAAATAACATCTCTTTTATATGTGATCGGTAAACTTCATTTTATGATATTGACAAAAAGCATAAATTCAAACAGACAAGACATAAAACAATACTTTGAAAGAAAAATAGAAAAAGGTATAACTACTTTTCACACATCTCTGTCGCAAAGACATCACATGGTTCCGTACAAATATCGATATCATCACCTTAGTGCAATTACAGGTTTTTAAAACCTTTTAAATTAAATAGGAGTTAACCAGTTATTGCACGAAGGTGACGATATGCTTTTAAGTCCTTATAACACTAGTTCATGTTTTAGACTTTAGTGCGTGTCTGATTGAATGACCTGCCTAAAGCATACCAATGGGCAAAACACTCTTGAAATTGCATTCGAAAGATTGCTATTATTTTTCAATGTGGCTAACGTTAAACAATAATTATATTTAATCAAAAACAAAATTTTTCATTCAAACCATTCTAAGTAGAAAGATGGATATACAATACAAGCTGTTCCTGCTTACTTAAAACACATTACTTGGTGTTGCTCCAAATTGCCTTGCATACTGTTAACATATTAATATAAGTTGTGCTTGAAGTATAAACTGTCACGTTCAAAAACAGTTTTAGTTATGTTGCACCTTATTATCTGAACAAGCTCCCTGACGAAAAAAGTTCTCTATCTTTAATCATATTGAAAAAAACTTTAAAAGACTTCACTAAAATAAATATCATCATATGCTTGGTTGAATAAATAGTAATTCAACTTTTCAGCAATGTCTTAAAGAGATGTTTTTTGTTATTTTGTGTTAAAATCATTTTTATCTGTATTAGAAAATAGAACATTTTCATTCATATTAGATACTTTGTCTTATTTTGATAGCTTATTTTAGGTAACTTTGAGTTAATTCTGTTCAATTCGAATGCACTGTTTTAGCTACTAGATTTGTTATATGTTTTCATTTCAATGTTATTATATTTTTCTGGTCCTTCGTGATAATTCCAACCAGAAGTGTTGAAGATATAGAAAACAGTTTTTGCCGATGCTTGGAGGCGTAGAAGATGAGACACTCTTATATTATCTGTCATGAACAAACTCAATTGAACCGAGTCTGCAATTTTCATATAATATTTTTGTTTTCATTGCAAAATATAATATTAATATTATATTGTTGTTTTCAGTGAGGTTTTCATTCTTCCAAAGGATCTCCCCATTTTCTAGATTTTTTACTTCACAACAGTAGGTGTCCAGTGCCATATGGCAGCTGAAAAATAGTTGCGATGCACTTCACTTCAATGTTGTTATATTTTTCTGTTCCTTTAGGGTCATTTTTTCCAGCACATTATTACCGCTAAAGCCGGTGCTGCGGGTCATGGGAAAAGTTGCACTTTAAATTATATTTCATGAGTCAATCAAACATAGTCTGCAATTTTCATTGCTTCCAGGGATCACCTTTTTCCTGATCTTCATGCATTGTTGTTTACCTAACTTTCGAAGTGTTTTGCAATTGGTGAAATGTATTTTACTTCCTGTAAAACACTTTTGAACATAAAATGCATAAGATTGCTTTTAGAATTTGGCATTATATATAAAATAACTATTAGTTTTAAATGTATTTCAGATAACCGTTTTTACGAACTTAAAGTTGCGTTCATTATAGCTCATTATAAATAACAGTCAATACATTAAAAAGGAACTTTAAGCCGATGTTGATGGATGGTAAATAGAGTCTAAAAATAATGAAATTTGATAACAGTTTTTTTTCTACAGTAATAAATTCTAGAGTTTCCTTTATACACTTCTATTTAAGAATACGACATATTTAAACAAACTTGTATTGTGTGTTGTTTCATCTTCATTTATTTCAATCATTTCAATTATTTTGCAAAAGGCTTGTATCGGTTCTTCTTACAACATCGTTGCCAAATTTCACGAGCATTTATTTCTACACATTGCAACTGGCAAGTCTCAAATCATGTATTATACTATGGTAATAAAGTTGTCGTTGTAACGAAAAATATCCTTTCACATGCTTGTGCATCTGCTATTTAACGAAATATTTATTATTCATGTCCAATATCAACTTCAGTTTTCATATTCTAAAACGATACAAACAAACAAACAAACAATCGAACAAGCTCACTTTGTCTTTTGCATAAGCCGACGATCAAATTGTGTCGAAATACAATTGTGTAGTAAGATTGAAACGTTAAAATATTGTTTAATTAATTACATGTATAATCAAATACTGTATGGTGACATTAATACAGCAGCATGTACCTCATGAACTTACCTGTATGAACTATTATACTCATCTTAAGGCTCATTCATTTACACTTGTAGTTTAAAAAAGTTTATTTTCTTTCTGCATGAGTAAATGTTTACACATTACGTTTTTAAATAGATAAAATGACACATGCCTAACTCTTTTCATTACTATAACAGTGGAAAAATAAAAGTTTAGTATCGTAGCCAATAGTTTTACATGCATTTGTTAGTCTATTGGTACATTGTTTATTTTTCATTTGCAATTTATCACCATTCAAATGAAATTAATGACTATCAGTAATAAGAAAACATTAAACAGAACGCATGATGTTAAACTTGGATAACTCAGAATTCTGTATTATTTTGTTTAGTCTGTATTGTTGACCGAAGTTCCTTTTAAGCCAATGAAGACGTATTTATATTGACTAACAATATCTACTCAGCACTGGTAATTTTTATCTTCTCATAAATTAGACGTTACAACATGATAAATATGAGAATAAAATTTAAGTTTTTGATATCTTTATTATTTGCAAAAAATACAAACATAAAAGTCACTTATACAAACAAGACAAAAAACCAATACATACAATGCAAATGTAAAAGAAATAAATAACATTTATTCATCATATATACTGAACGTTTAAACGAGATATTATTCATGTATTAAGCAATGCAAGTGTTCAAACAATTTAAAAATGCGGCATGTCCTTGACTAAACAGATTGCCGATACATTGCAATTGACATCTCCTAACTTTGTCAAAGCCTCCGTCATTACATTCACAAGGTCTTGAATTATTACCCGCACCTTTGCCACATACACTGGCTGTGTAATAAGGCACCACGTGCTTTCCATTAGCTTTGGCTTTGCATTCGGCTTGGTGGGCGCATACCCATTCTTTGACCTTCTGGTCACATTTACTGGAACAGCCATGAAGTCGTCTGCAACCAACAGTTAGCCAGTTATGATGTTCGGCGATTGTTCCGAAATCGTGCAAGACATTATTGTGATTGTCGGCTGCTACAGCTTTGCAGAAACAACTGAAAGGCATAAAGGAAATATAATGAAATATATAAGTTTGATATATTTCACTTTTCATAAATAATACAACATGTTTCAAATCGCCTGTGCATAAGTTGCTAACGAATTACTAATTGCCAAAGTATACTCGCAACAAATATTTCATTTTGGCTGATCAAAGTTTTGTATTATTACAGAAGTCAGAATGAAAATATTTTCACACTGTCAATTAAAATGATATTTAAATGAACAAGTTTATAAAAAAAAAACTGGTATTTTAGAAAAAAGAGCAACGAGAAAAAACACAACCTACCGTTTTCTGTCAGCCAAAGAATAATCTAATAAAGTACAGAAAATTGCAATCAGGCATATTGCTTTCATTGTCATTTTTTTTTTGGTCTTCCTTAGTGTGTTTTGTTTGTTGAACTTCTGAACGTTGAAGTAGGTAATGATTGAAAAAAGATTTTGAGAGTGCTTATATACATCTTTAAGTGACCGAATTCGTGGAAACAGAGGGATGGAGCAAGAGGAAAAACAGTAACAAAAACAAAAAATGCGCAACGAATTCCGGTTTAATTATTGTCTTATCATAAGCCTCATTAAAGGTTTGGAGCATAATTAGACCACAATAAAATAGTAATTAACAAGCGTACCGTCCTACTTACGTCATTTACGTCATCGGCGAATTAATTCATGCGAAAACTAATTTTAGCAGTATTGAATAGGTAAAAACCATTCGAACATCAACAAAGGTGTGTTATAGAGAATGTTGTAATTGCGATTGTATGTTTTGAATTGTGTACTAAGTCTATAAAT